CTTCCGCTCGAAGAAATGCAGCTCAACAAACTCCTCCCGCTGTCGCTCCATCAGCCGCTCCTGAAAAGCGGCTCGAAGATCGGTGATAAATTATCTACGGTAGATAAGCTTATATATATATATATATATGTATATATATTATATATAATATATACACATAATGTATTAAATATGTATGTATAACACATCTATCATGCATAAGTTTATATTGTATGTAGATATATAGTGTATGGACATAATTGGGGATGTTTGGCAACAATCAAACCAATCAAAATAGGGAGTTGTCAGAGAATTTGATCATATCTACCCAGTTTTGTTGTTGACATCCCCCTTTATTGTCTTCTGATAGTACGAGTATCTGGTGATTGCATTTTTGATGACAACAAGGGTCGTCAGTGTAGTAACCAGGACTTGTATTCAAATTCGCAGGCGAAAGGTCAATCGTCGATCTTGGTTTGCAAGGTGGGAACATCAAGAGCGCAAAATAGTATTCAATAGTATGAAATGGAGGTTTCCTAAGTCACAGGGCTACCCCCAATCATCCAAAAAAAAAAATATATATATATACATTTGTATTGAAAGCCATGGTTTATGGGATATCCTCCAGTTTAGGAAATACCAAAAATAGTCGTGTATATACCTCCCAACCCATTTCGTTCAAGGTGGAAAAGCCAGGTGTTCTGTCACGATTTCAACGCGCAAATAAGCGCCCATGTCGATTGGAGTATCACAATAGTACTGCTACGACACAACAATGTTGAGATTTTGAGTATCTGGATGTATCATGATGTATCTGGGCTCATAAATTGTTCGATTCTAGAATTCTAGGGATGTTCAACTATCCCTGACTCAGCCAATCACCCAGGGTTTCAAATACTTCAAACTTGGCCCCCCAAAACACGGCCCCAAACCAGCAAACATGGGACAGTTGAAGGGACCAAACTTGCATCAACAAAGAAAGGGCTAACAAGGTGGGAAACCGCTACTGGTTCCAGAAGTCAACTGGAGGAAGCCCAAACGTCACCATTGGTTTCTCCTTATCCTTAAATCATGACCACTAACTTGTAACTTGGATTAATCATAATGTGGGGATGTTACGAAACTCCCAAAATATTACCCTCCAGTAAATTAACATAGACCCTGGTAGATAGGGGTTGGCAGATTAGTTTCCACTAAACATTGGTTATTTGTAGGGTCTATGTTAATTTACCAGAGGGTACGAACCTCCCAAAACACCTGCGATGCTTGGAGCTCGCCGAGCTCAGAGGTAAGGCTAGCCATCCTGGCGCTGGAAAATCATAGCCCATAGGATCCATGGTGCTGCTATATATGGTAACATTTACCATCAATATACCCCCAATGTTAGCATATATACCATTCATGGATCCTATGGATAGGGATTTTTGTCCCCCAAAAAAAAACACCGAAGCGGAAATTGTCGAAAAACCGACTCTGTACAAGAATTGGAATGTTCATCTGGCTAATGATACAGGACCAAACACAGAGAGGTACAGTAGTTCTTGCCAAATGCAGCGGAACAGTTGGGAATCATTGGGGAAGCCCACGAAAACTAGCCCTATCCCATCGCATGAAATACTGGTTGGTTAATAGGTATATGTGTCCATATAGTATAGCTTATGTATGTGTATGTATATATATATTAATACAAACATCACTAAAAAACAAGGTGGTATCACCAGCAGTTCACAATCACAACAACCAACTGACCATCATCCGTGATATCCGTGTGTCTAGTTGGTTAAATCCCAGAAATCATCCGAACATACACCGATCACGGATTCGGAGTACAACCTAATTCACCAATCTCAAAAAATGGTCGGGGAAAAAAATAATTGTCTATTGAGAGACGTCATAGAGACGTCTATACCAGAAAAATATACAAAAATGGTCTCATTCGAAGACGTCCATTTTGGGTCGAATTCCCCCAATGCTAAACCGACGTTCGATGATCCGATGTGTTCGATGTCTCGGCTCACGTTCCCATCGTCTCCGTCTCACTCCTCTCATCTTGCACATTGAGGTGCTGCAGAATGGCTGTCAGCACTTCCTGCGCTGAAGATCCGGCATTCGTTTTTCGGGGAACTTGTTTGGCCATCCAAAAGTCACTGAAATGTATTGTTTGACCACCAAAATGGATCATAATTATACTTTAACCATCTTTAACCCATCAAAGTTTGGATGAAGCCATCAAAGTTGGAGATTCACTAATCCAGTTGTTTAACTGCTCAATACCGAAATGTCCGTACACCTCTGATAATTCTAGAGAATTACCATGTTCAATTCGTGAATGATCAAAAATGGGTGACATTCCATTGTCAGGCTGGATTGTTGGAGGATAAGAATTGCCACAGAGAATTGCCACAGAGAATACCTTAGAGACCTCAGCCAACACTGAACACCACCAAGCAGTATTCAACCCGGGGACATGACCAACAACGTTGGATACATCCATCTAAGTACATGGAGGGTAGTACATATGAACATATGCATATCAATGTGTATAATATTAGATTGATTATATATATAGCTATGTAATATGTGTGTATGTCTGTCGTATGCGTATGATGTAAAATGATGTAAATATATTCTAATACATGGCCCAGCCCGTCCTGCAATCGACTCACTCCCAGCAGATGATCTAAGACCAGCGGCTTGCCGTTGAGTGTCCTGGGCGGCCACTCCTGGCGAAACCTCCAGAAATTGTGGTGAAAAAACAAAGACCATCAATCATTTAATGGGAAAACCATGGGAAAACGATTGAAAAATAGCTGGAAAATACAGATTTTTCATAGACCATTGTCGGAGAGGTGCCCAATTTTGAAAACCCCCAGGTGTGCAGTTGGCTAGCGGTCGAATCATTGGGTCGCTGACGGGCTGACGGAAGAGTCTACTAGTAGGATATGAGATATTCATCTGGTAAACTAACAGTTTGCGATATAGAAAATGGGCATAGAAATAGTGGATCTACCTATTAAAAATGGTGGATCTTTCATGATCTTTCCATAGTTATGTAAACGTTTACCAGAGGGTATTCATCTGTGGGGCGCACCTCGATTTTTGTCCCATGTGCATCCATGTGCCAGAACCAGTCACCCTACTCTACTCATCATTGCCATCTTTGAATATCTCACGAGCTACTCATCGATGGACCTCTCGGGGCCAGATTCACAAAAGAACAACCATCACTTAGTGGCTGGTCTTAGATTCTGAACCAGACGACTTGGAGAAAGGTCCCTGAAACCAAAAGAGCCCTTCACATATTCCGCGGTGTGCTCGCCCCCCAGATGTCCATTGAAAATTGCCCTCAAAACAAACGCATGGCAATGGGAAATCCTCTCTTCATGGGAAAAGCATGGACCCTTCTGGGTATTCTCCGCTGAAAGGAACATATCCACAGCCATGGCACAGGGCTGCCATGGCGCTCAACGGGTTTGTCGGTTTGTCCACCCACGACGCCAGTGGAGAATGAAGATGAATGACGGACAATCAAGTGGGGATATAAGATGATATAACATCATAACTATGTAAGATGATATAGATATACAGCAACTGATAACCCAACCTTTCCTCCAGCTTCATGTTGGAATTCCCATCTTGGCCCCTACAGCTCCGGTATGTTTCATGGCTAGTGGAGATATCAACATCCTGGGGTGGGGGGTCCCCCACAAGACGCTGCCCCACATCCTGTGGCGACCCTGGGCCCTAGAAAATCACGGCCGTCTCGGTATGGAAGACTGCGGCTAGGCGACTGATGTTGGGATTTGCCACAAAACTGACCGGTTGGCAAACGCCAGCAGGATCCAAAAAAGGAACCGGTCGGTGATTTCACAACATCCCAACAAACTCAGGGGAACATCATCCAAGATAGGATCGAACATGGGACATATTTCAAGCCACCAACCAGAAATGCTGGGGTGGTCAAACCCTATCAAAGCGAACTGTAAGAATAACTTAACTGAACTATCTTTGTAGCCTGAAAAAAAAGGTGATGGGTCGACATCACCAACATGATGGAAAATTCCAAGACTGGATAGGCAAGGAGAGCCAGCTGCAACCCGCTGAGTCTTGGTCATGTATCTACAAACAGAACAACGCTTTGGCAGCGGAAGGGAAAGCCAACCTTGTTTGAAAATGGTTGAGAATAATGCGGGTTGATATCGGTTTGGTTTGGCAGCATTCAAAGTAATCCAGCTACGCTTTGTTGATGGTTTTCCCTTGTCATTGTTAAGTGGACTTACAGGATCCTTTCATTTTCACGGGATATAATCCAACAATCCAACAATCCAAGCGGTGGTGAAAAACCAGTTTTCCGGATCCTGGTAGATGTAGCCTCCATTTCCAGATCCATGTTGTCCCCGTAATAGAAAGAATCTTGACCCAATACAAATTATCAGGCTCAACTACCCTCTGGTAATTTAACATCACTATGGAAAGATCCACCATTTTCAATGGGAAAATCCACTATAAATGGTGATTTTCAATAGCAAACTGTTAAATTACCAGATCGTAACTGACCCATAGGCAACTGAAAAAACTATTGCGATACATTCCACTCGCCATCTTGGTATAGCTCAAAACAACGACCCTGATGTTGGGATGCTTCAATAAGTACAACTTCAATTCCTCTCCCTGGTCCTTCAATGCTTCAATGTTTGCAAGTAGCTACCCCATCTTTGGTCATCTTATATCATGATGTTATGATGTCATGATTATTTCTATGTTCATTATAATTTCTTGCCATTATGATCCAGTATGATCATTAGATACATCAAAATACTACATCAACTCATTATTCCCAATTTAAATGCTCATCTTTCATCTGGTTGGTGGTTGACCTACCCCTCTGAAAAATCATGGAGTTCGTCAGTTGGGATGATGACATTCCCAATAGATGGAAAGTCATAAAAATCCATGGTTCCAAACCACCAACCAGATTGTATTGTTATAGGTCAATTTTACATAATTTTATGGTATTATTTTCATCCATTATTATTAATTATAGTCATCATCCACCAACCAGCCATGTCGACATCCCACGGTGTTCCTTTTTTCGACCGCAGCGCTCCCAGGTCCTCCAGGTCCTCCAGGCTTCGCAGGTACGACGCGTTGCGCGCCAGGAGCTTGGCCACGTCGTCGTAGGAGGCTTTCACGGCGTCCAGGTCCGCCTGGGGACGGACAACGGCCGGAGCTCAGAGGATGTTTCCCATTTTTTGGGGGAAAACATGGTGAAACTATGTAAAAAATGAGAGATTCTGGGATGATCATCTAGAATTCTGGTGAATATTGAACATATGAAAATATTATCAATTGGTATCATCAGTTGTCTGATAAAAATGATTGAAACCACCAAGCAGGTAAGGTGTGGACGAGTCGTGCCATAAAAAAAACAGACAGGATGGAAAAGAGATGGCAAATGGATGAAAGTACATCTGTAGGAAAGCCAATCATCGTCCTAATATTGGCTGTTAACATAGTTGCTAGCCGGCTATATCCATTCTTGTTCAACTCGTCCTTGCATTTTTGTACGTCGATCTCCACAGCCTCGACTGGTTACTGTATATAAATTCCCCAAATATTCCCAGCTGCGCCGAGTTTCGCGGCGAATCAAGTGAACGGTCGGGTGAGGCGCTTGGTGTAGCACATTGTCAACCTCAGAATGGGACCACCATGCCCCGTTGCGGCACCTACGATGAATAGCAACAAAGTTAGGAGGCTGCACATTTGTTATTCTTGGCTTGGGCCATATGATGTCAATCCCATCTCCCCGAAGAAACTGGAGAGTTTTGTTGGTGGATAATGGGTCCATTTTGGGAATTTTGGGGTTGCAAAAAGAGGAGCTATGGATTTGTGGTCCGTTTCCCGTTTTCTCATGGCTAACCTTGGATCAGTAGAGCTATAGTCGGCGACTAACCATGTATAACCAACATTAACCAAGCAAAATTGGGAAAATAATCCAACATCAACTATGACAAAGACAAAAATCTTAGTATACAGATGATGTCGTTTCATCACGATGTCTTAAATGAACCTTACTGAAAACTTACAAACCCGGCGTTTGCCCAGATGGCCCAAATATCAATCACGACCAATTGTGGCAGTGACGTGTTTGGGGGTCTTCCGTTTTCACTACGTGTACCTCGGGTTCAAGTTCTGGTTGGCGCTTGATGATAGTTATAATGCAAGGTAACAGTGATCCTAAAACAACAACAAAGTCTCACACTGCCTTTCCATACTTGTAGGATTTCATGCCGCACTTGGATTGCTTGGCCATTTTTCGGAATTCCAGTTTTTTAAGATTTTTCCATTTTTTTACCTCATGTTTTGCAAGAAAATAAACTTAATGACAGGTTTACTGTAGTGCGAAAATGAGGAGCATACTATGGATTTTACGGATTTGGGCTATGGGCCTTCAAATGATCAATATATTTTTTCGAACCATTCTATTCCCACTATCTTCCTAATATATATATACATATAATTATTTATTTATTTATCTATTTATTTATTTATACATATATACAGATATATATATATATATATTATAATAATATAATTATACGGCAAACGCCTGGGCTTTGCCCGGAACCGCAACCACAACAGCATAATCATCATCATCATCATTATAATCATCATCATCATCATCAAACCCTTATTGACGATCTTCAATGAATGTAGAACTTTAAGAAGGGTGAGAGAATTAAACCCTTATTGAAGATCTTCAATGAATGTAGAAGTTTAACGGGGGTGGGAGAATTAAACCCTTATTGAAGATCTTCAATGAATGTAGAAATTGAACGGGGGTTTGAGAATTAAACCCTTATTGAAGATCTTCAGTGAATGTAGAAGTTTAACGGGGGTTTGAGAATTAAACCCTTATTGAAGATCTTCAATGAATGTAGAAGTTTAACGGTGGTGGGACTTTAATATTCCCTAATACCTTTGTTGATCTTCCCAATTGACTGTAAAGTTTAACGGGGGTGGAATTTTAATATTCCCTAATACCTTTGTTGATCTTCCCAATTGAATGTAAAGTTTAACGGGGATGGGATTTTAATATTCCCTGGCCCTAATACCCTCGTTGATCTTCCCACTTGAATGTAGAGTTTAACGGGGGTGGGATGTTAAAATACCTTTGTTGATCTTCCCAATTGACTGTAAAGTTTAACGGGGGTGGAATTTTAATATTCCCTAATACCTTTGTTGATCTTCCCAATTGAATGTAAAGTTTAACGGGGATGGGATTTAATATTCCCTGGCCCTAATACCCTCGTTGATCTTCCCACTTGAATGTAGAGTTTAACGGGGGTGGGATGTTAATATTCTCTAATACCTTTGTTGATCTTCCCAATGGAATGCAGAGTTGCAACAACATTTGATTTGGAATGGGGACCCTCTACGCTGCAACGCGTAATTATATATGTATAATTATGTATATATATATATAGTCCCCATGGGCCATGAGGAGAAGTCACCCTGCAAACCAAGGCGCCTTTGGTGCAGGATCTAAGTCTTTTAGCCATTCAATGGGCACCCACTGCACCACGCCATCGTCCTACGTGTGGGAAAAAATCATCCCATCCCCCTAATATTGGAGGGGGATTGACTTCATCCCCCAAATCCCATCCCCAAGATTGTTCAAAAATCAATATGCCAATTGACCTTTGAAAATCCCTTTTTGAACTCAAAAAATTGCCCATTTTGGGGAGGGACGCCAAGGGATTGGACGCAATGGTGATCCGGCCAGGTTAGGGATGGGGTCCCTGGGTCTGGGGTTAACCAGGATTACCAGGCGGTTGTGATGCAAAACCGATACGAAGGTTTGACCGTGACACCTGCCAAGTGCGACAATCTGAAGTCACCAGTCCCACAATACAACTCCGAACACACGATTCTTGGGATAAATTCCATTACAGTAGGGTTTGTGTAAAAAATTTGATGACTTTTAGTCCATCCACTGGTTATCACTAGTTAATCAGTGAATCATCATTCATCATATTCCCGATTTTCTTGCGTGACCATTGAATGTGACCATTTGCGGTCAATCCCCCATTTTCTGACACAGCCATCTACCCCAACAGGTGTTGATTCTATCTCATTATATATATAATCCCTATTGACATCTCCACTTGGCATCCACCGGTTCCACCACACAACCCGCAGCCCGCAACCCACCTCAACCCATTGCTGACGATTGCTGACCATAGATGCCACACACGAAACTCAAGACTCTCTTTGCAGGATATTCGATATATAATAGCTATATGTAATTCTAACATATCATGTAATTCATATACATCAAATACCATCTTCTATACAATATGTATTCCTCCATTCACCATCCAAAAAAACGGTTGGTTTTTCACCATCCCGCCGCTCCAGAAAGCGCACGCCGACGCGTCGCGTCCCCACCCGCGTCTCGTCCAAGGACTCCACTGTCGCCGGCAGCGCACGGCGGCTCCGCCGTCCGTCGCATTCCTGGTAGAAGGCCATCACCTGCCGGGCTACGGGTTGGTTATGGGGGTGGGGAAAAAAAGGTGAGAAACCCTATAGTATAAATCCAACAATTATCTGGGGTTTAATCAATATATTCCTGGAGACATGCCATATTTTTAGAGGGTATATGGCATGTGGTTTACCCCATTATCCCCCCTATATATTTTGTTGATGGATTCCCCCTTGTATCTCAGTTTTTGTGTGTTGAATTGACCACAATCCCAAAGTGTCCCGTTGTCGATGGCCCAGGCGCTCGGCTACCTTCCACCATCTCTGCCGGCAACGAGGGCCAGCGGGCAAATCCTAACAGTGCACCAGGTGTGCTTGCGTTTGAATCCCGCATCTTTGTTTGTAGAATCTTATATGTCTCTTGTGATGTTACGTGAGTAAGGGGGTCATAGATCCCCAACTGCACTTTTGTCAGGCCGTCCTACTCGGTTTCCTTCATTTGGATATGGCTCAATACCAACTTATATACCCCAAAAGGGGTTAGTTTGTTGGTTTTTCACATACTAAAAGCAATCTCTTTTGCTCCATTTTTGGGATCGGATACAGAATGAACTCGGATCTTGAGTCCTTCCCTTTTCGATCATTTTCGATCCGTACAGGACTTCTCATAGTCGATCATCATCCTCCACCACTAAGGGTCAGCGATCTTTTTCGACCCGAACCCCATCAACTTGACCCCCGAAGCGGAGATGAATCCAGAGTTGACCGGACCCGAGGGCCCGAACCCCGGGCAAATCAAAAGAAGACTGATCATACAATGATCAATAATGATAACAGCAGTATAGTAAATGATGAATTATAACCGTGATAGTAAAAATAGTATCATGAAAAATCAGATGATCCTGATAGTAATCATATATCAATCATACAACATCATATAACAATGATAGTACCTCCATACCAATGATAGTCTTCCCCAACATGATCATATATCTACAAACCAACCATTTTTGTTGGAAGACTCATCCCCAAACAGTCCAACAGTGCCACACTCTGCCGTTCTCCCAACGAGCTGCTGGGATGGAAGACCACCAGCCCTACCAACTCCTCTAAGTCTTGCAGGCTATTGGACACCCAGCGGTCAAAGGTAGGAAAGTCCTGCCATTCCTTGGGAATGCCAAAGGCTGAAGGGCTGAGGGAGTGAAGATGAAAGCCTCATGGCGGGATGGTGCTGAATGCATATATGAATGCAACGATCATGGTGAAACATTGTGAAATATTTGATAGGATTTAAGATGTTTTGCATTTCTTACTGGGAGATAGCTGGGAGATGTTGGCTAAATGCACCCAGCAGAACTGCTCTGTAAGCCGTAAAATGGCCAGATATGAATGGATACACTCCCAAGACCTACCTTCCAAACTATACCACTGATTTGAGGGAATGCTCAAATGAGGATGGTGATTTGGTGGGAATTGATCCAGGCAAAATGGGGACGTACGTGATCTGCTTGGCCTTACTCGTGGACCGTCCGACCGGAGTCCGACCCACTTGTATAATGGTTGATCCAAGTTCTGCCCATTGCAGATCACGCTGGCATCCAAACTGGGCACTGCGTTTTCATACCACCACTATGATGTCACTTAGTTACACTATAGTACTATACTGATACATATTGCATAAATATATGTATATATATATAATATATATATATGTATACATATGTATACGTATATGTATATTCCATGGTATTCCCCGCTATGTTCCCCACTGTATCCTCACTATCTCCCCAGGATCTCCCTAGCGCCAAAGATTCTGCCACCTCCGCGCAAACCACCAGCGATGTGCTCCAACTCTTCGCCTGCACCAGCTGCTGAGCCTCCTGTCGCAGCTCCGAGGCCTCGAAGGACGAGTTTGGGGGTAGAGTTACGGGTTGGGGAGGAAATTCGGGGTTTGGGCCGGGATTTTTGCCAGATTGTTGCGTTTTTGTTGTGAAATGTGGCTCAAATATTGATTTTTTGGGGGTAACATCCTTCTTGTTACACATTTGAACCCACATGTTATCCACATTTTGGGTGGTCAAATACAATGCCAGTTTTGGAAGGTAAGACGCCCGGTGGTGGAAGGAATCCTGTTTATTTGGTGGGAAACCCAGAAGTTTTCAGCGGATTTGCCCTCCTCCTGAGTCAAGCCAAGAAAGTAAATATAGCTGCGCAACGTTTACCTCGTCCAGCCGGGGCGCCTGCAGGCGCCTGCTTTTGGCTCACGGTTGGCCAGTCAGGCGCGGCACGGCAACATCGCGTCTAAGTGCGAAGATTGCAATGTTCATCATCCTTGTTATCATCCAGATAGAGCCGGCAACATTGTGCAAGGTAAATGCTGCGCCTGCCACGCAATGTTGCTACGTTGTTCACCAAGTATTGCGCCTGCCACGAGCGGTGCAGTCACAAACATTCCACTGATTCCACGTCCATGTTGTGCAAGGTGGCCGTGAAAGACTGGGGCATCTAGCAAGTCCAAAATAATTTCAATGTCAGAATCAACAGTGTTCTTGCGGTCTCCAATGGAGGCCGGACTGCCAATGGCATGATTTCTGTACAATGCGATCCCCAAAGAGACTTGCTGGGATATCCTAAGGTTTTATGTGGCCTCAATCGGAAAATCCATGAGTCGCTGCAAATGCTTCCGTGAAGCGTAAAGGAGCAATCATCAGCAAAATGATGTATCCACATGCCTTCTATATCAGCTATCACCGGTAAATAAACATGTATACACAAAAATCCCACTTGTTGACTGATTACTGCTGCCGGTCTCTCATAGGGGTCGGGGTCGCGAAATGAGACTAGTAGACCCACACATAATGTCTCCACATGCCCTTGTTTATATCAGCCATCAGTATATACAACAAAACTCCCACTTAAATTGACATATTTCTGCTGCTGGTTGGTCGCTCATAGGAGTCGGGGTCGCAAAATGAGACTAGTAGACCCACACATGACGTATCCACAAATTCCGTCGTTTATATCAGTCATCAGTATATACAACAAAACTTCCACTTAAATTATCTTAAATTGACTTATTACTGCTGCTGGTCGCTCATAGGGGTCGGGGTCGCAAAATGAGACTCTTCGAGCCACACATTTGTTCATCATGACCATGCAATTTTGGTGTGCATCAGTTGGACCCATATTACAAATCGAAAAAATGTCAAACGATTTGAAACCAAGTCTTGGAACCACAAAAAGCATTGCTCTTGATTGAAAGGCACCATCTAAATGGTCACTGCCTCAACATATCTGTAAACAATATCACGACTAAAAGAGTCTTGACTCACACTCAAACACAAACACAAAGCTGGAATGCAGAATGCATTACTGCGTATTGTATTCTAGTGGATAAAGCTCATTTTGGGTGCGTCCATCCAACTGCTTCACACTGGCAACCCTCCTGAAAAATTCTAGTCAATGATGAAGGATCGTAAGCCTGTTGTTTTCAGGGCTGGAATATATATATATATATATATATATATATATATACGGCAAATGCCTGGGCTTTGCCCCGACCCGCAATGACAACAGGCGACGCATCATCATCATCATCATCATCATCATCATCACCATCAAACCCTTTTTGAAGATCTTCAATGAATGTAGAACTTTAAGGGGGTTGGGAGAATTAAACCCTTATTGAAAATCTTCAATGAATGTAGAAATCTAATGGGGGTGGGAGAATTAAACCCTTATTGAAGACCTTCAATGAATGTAGAAGTTTAAAGGGGGTTGGGAGAATTAAACCCTTATTGAAGATCTTCAATGAATGTAGAAGTTTAAAGGCGGTGGGAGAATTAAACCCTTATTGAAGATCTTCAATGAATGTAGAAGCTTAAAGGGGGTGGCAGAATTAAACCCTTATTGAAGATCTTCAATGAATGTAGAAGTTTAAAGGGGGTGGGAGAATTAAACCCTTATTGAAGATCCTCAATGAATGTAGAAGTTTAAAGGGGGTGGGAGAATTAAACCCTTATTGAAGATCTTCAGTGAATGTAGAAGTTTAACGGGGGTGGGAGTTTAATATTCCCCAGTACCTTTGTTGTTTTTCCGATAGGAATTAAGGTTAAACGGGGGTGGGAGTTTAATATTCCCTGGTACCTTTGTTGATTTTCCCAATTGAATGTAAAGTTTAACTGGGGTGGGAGTTTAATATTCCCTAGTAACTTTGTTGTTTTTCCCATAGGAATTTAAGGTTTAACGGGGGTGGGAGTTTAATATTCCCTAGTACCTTTGCTGTTTTTCCCATAGGGATTTTGTGAAGTTGCATCAACATTTGTTGGGGAATGGGAAACCTCTACGCTGCAACGCCTGGGCAAAGCCCAGGCGTTGCACGTATATATATATATATATCCAAACCCAGCATCCAGTTTCATCAGCAACCTCCTCAGAAGTACAAAGCCAATCCCACTATGTCAACAAAGCCCCGAGGGAGTTTCTGCCACGCCGCCACGTGTTGCTTCGTGGTTCCCATGCAGTCAAGATATCGAATCCTTGCAGGTGGAATGCCGATTAAAAATGGTGACTTTCCATCGCAACACCGATAATTGCAAGAGGATATATTGCAGTGTGTCAAAACCTTGTACCCCTGGTGAACATTAAAATAGCTGGTAAATGGATGTTCATCCCACTAAAAATGGTATTAATAGGTATTGATCCATACCCATATAAAATGGAAGCCAGAAAAAACGACCGATTTCCAGGCAGCAAATCCATCTTCCAAATCCAACTCCATTCTGCTGCATTCGTTTCCATACCTACAATCCGCTTAGGAACGTCCCAAGATGCATCGGTATTGTATGTATTAGTATAAACATTGCTATATCGTGATCTCATACTGGTGTTGAAAGCAACGAAGATGTACAAACAACGTGGGTGAAACATCGCCTTCATTTCCTGCAAATGGATCTCACCATGTTGAAACGGTATTCGTTCCAACTGGTGAATAAACTAAACGAATGGATGTTCGCCACCAAGAACAAGCCTATAACCAACGACAACATCTCGAAAAAAAAAGTCGCCCTTTTCCTTGCACAGGAGAGAATCATCAACGTTTCTGGGCACATCTCACCAACGAGCCAGTTTTGGGATGACTCTGCATAGACAAATGACAAACCACCATTTACACTGACGTCAGTCAGCGAGGCCGCTACAGTTTGCCCAGGAAAATGGTCATTTTCAAAACATAAATATATGAGGGTTTCCTAAAATGGGGTTATCCCGTTTCATCATCCGTTTTAGATGGGGATTTTCCATCATAAACCATCCAGCTATGGGGAGCTCAAGTAATGGCCCGAGCTTTCCAGTAGCCTTGAGCGTTTCAACCAACGGGCGCATCATCCCACTAATGGAGTTTCTTGATGCCCTGCCGGTGTCTTCACTTGCAAGTGGTAAGTTCTGCGAGTTGGTGATTTGTGATTCTATGGAAGAGCATCATCATTTAGCTGATTTTGCTGGACAAAAAGTGATTCTTCAGTGGGTCAATGGTTGTGCTCCGACCTTGCCCATTGGAACCAAGATCTCCATTTGGGATTTCGATCATGACTCTGCGAATGAGATTGCAACTGTCAAGGTCGATTTCAGTAGCCACACAAGGTGGGTGGTTGCTTTGCCCCGTGAAAAAGAAATCCAACTGAACGGTCGGTTCATTGAACTTTGTGCTGGCCTTGGTGGTTGGTCATGTGGACTGGGGTATATGAAGATGAACACGAGGTTGCTCATTGACAAGGATGTGAATGTAGCCACGGCTTGTAGCAAGTGGTTGAACCTTCCTTTGTTCAGCCTTAGTGAAGCATACGACATGGCTGCAGAAGGGAAAACGTTCCCATCGTGTGTTATCATTGCCGACATCTTCGACAAGAGGCTGTGGACGGTAATTGGATTGATTGGTCCTGACTTTGGCCTTGTCTCTGCTCCAAGTGAGCCTTGGAGTAGGGCCGGGCGTGGTTCAGGGCTATCTTCAGTAGATGGGAAGCTGATGGTTTTCATCCCAGAAATGGCACAGAAAACAGGTATCAGATGTTTGGTTGCTGAAAATGTGGCAGGGATTGCTAGCCATTCCCACTACAAGGCCATGGTGCATTCAGCCAAAAGATGTGGAATGCCAATCCGGTTCACTTCCATTGATGATTGCTTCCCAGTTATTCCAGTGCGAAGAGATAGGTGGCTTGCTACCTTTCTCACAGCGGAGATCCAAATTCCCATGTACCTATTGGAGTGGATTTCCAAAGTGAACTTTCCGAAGGTGCATCCGAAGGACTCCAGCATTGGAAATCGGGATTGTATCTTCCTCGACATGAATGACGAGGAAAGGCAAGAGCTTGTGCCTGATCATGCAGCAATGTTGAAATTGTCCAATGCCAAGTACTTGCCATGCTGGTTGTTTGAGGATGGTAAGACGGCTTTGGAGTGTCGCGCGCTAGGACCTCATGATATCTTGTCAGACTTGATGACTATGTGTGGTCGTCAGCATTTGTCTGCCGATGATTTGCTGTTGAACAAGGGACTTCTCACCACTTTGATCCGAGATCATGATGGTGTCAGGTACGTTAGTCCATTTGAGTGGATGGCCGCACTTGGGTGGCCATGCTCACTCCATTTGCCAAGGGAGATCGAGGCTGCCTGGACGGCTGCGGGCAACTCCATCTCCATCCCTCATGTGATTCTGGCTTTGTTCAAAACACACGCTTGTCTGCAAGATCGATCTCCTTGGGGAGCAAAGATTTTTAACCTGCGTGAGCTGATGAACATCGCGCTTCACTATCGAATCAAAGTTTCCAAAGTGAAACAAGTGTGTGGAGAGTCCACCAGGTGGCTCCAGTCAGATGATGTACATAGCTCGGTAGTACTGGTCGGTTCACCTCCATCCCCAGGTTGTGATCCTTTTTGTTTGGGTGGTTTTAGGGGTTTGAGTCTTTGTCCTGTTTCCGAGTCTGTGTCCGGAACATGCACCTTAGGTCCACTGCAGGGTTTGCATCCGACGGCATCCGTGAAACCAGATGATGAACATGCCCCGCCCCATGGAGGTGTACCGATCCCGAGTGCAGAGTCCTTGCTCAATGCATCCGCCGTAGGTCCACAGGGTTTGCATCCGACGGCATCCGTGACAGCTGAAGATGAGCATGCCCCTCCCCATGGAGGTGTACCGATCCCGATTGCAGAGTCCTTGCTCAATGCATCTGCCGTAGGTCCACAGGGTTTGCATCCGACGGCATCCGTGACAGCTGAAGATGAGCATGCCCCTCCCCATGGAGGTGTACCGATCCCGAGTGCAGAGTCCTTGCTCAATGCATCCGCAGTAGGTCCACAGGGTTTGCATCCGACGGCATCCGTGACAGCTGAAGATGAGCATGCCCCTCCCCATGGAGGTGTACCGATCCCGAGTGCAGAGTCCTTGCTCAATGCATCCGCCGTAGGTCCACAGGGTTTGCATCCGACGGCATCCGTGACAGCTGAAGATGAGCATGCCCCTCCCCATGGAGGTGTACCGATCCCGAGTGCAGAGTCTTTGCTCAATGCATTCGCCGTAGGTCCACAGGGTTTGCATCCGACGGCATCCGTGACAGCTGAAGATGAGCATGCCCCTCCCCGTGGAGGTGTACCGATCCCGAGTGCAGAGTCTTTGCTCAATGCATCCGCCGTAGGTCCACAGGGTTTGCATCCGACGGCTTCCGTGAAACCAGATGATGAACATGCCCCTCCCCATGGAGGTGTACCGATCCCGAGTGCAGAGTCCTTGCTCAATGCATCCGCCGTAGGTCCACAGGGTTTGCATCCGACGGCATCCGTGACAGCTGAAGATGAGCATGCCCCTCCCCATGGAGGTGTACCGATCCCGAGTGCAGAGTCCTTGCTCAATGCATCCGCCGTAGGTCCACAGGGTTTGCATCCGACGGCATCCGTGACAGCTGAAGATGAGCATGCCCCTCCCCATGGAGGAGTACCGATCCCGAGTGCAGAGGTTCTTTGCTTCAATTGCATTCGCCTTTAGGGTCCACGGGTTTGCATCCGACGGCATTCCGTGGACAGCTGAAGTTAAGCATTGCCCATCCCCGTGGAGGGTACCGATCCCGAGTGCAGAGTCTTTGCTCAATTGATTCCGCGTGAGGGTCCACAGGGGTTGCATCCACGGCTTTCCGTGAAACCAGGTGATGAACATTTGCCCCTCCCCATGGAGGTGTGACGGATCCCGAGGCAGAGTCCTGTGCTAATGCATTCCGCCGTAGGTCCACAGGGGTTGCATCCGACGGCCAATCCGTGACAGCTGAAGTGAGCATGCCCTCCCCGTGGAGGTTGTCCCGATCACGAGTGCAGAGTCTTGCTCAATGGCATCCGCCGTAGGTCCAAAGGGTTTGCATCCGACGGCATCCGTGACAGCTGAAGATGAGCATGCCCCTCCCCGTGGAGGTGTACCGATCCCGAGTGCAGAGTCTTTGCTCAATGCATCCGCCGTAGGTCCACAGGGTTTGCATCCGACGGCATCCGTGACAGCTGAAGATGAGCATGCCCCTCCCCATGGAGGTGTACCGATCCCGAGTGCAGAGTCTTTGCTCAATGCACTCGCCGTAGGTCCACAGGGTTTGCATCCGACGGCATCCGTGACAGCTGAAGATGAGCATGCCCCTCCCCGTGGAGGTGTACCGATCCCGAGTGCAGAGTCTTTGCTCAATGCATTCGCCGTAGGTCCACAGGGTTTGCATCCGACGGCATCCGTGAAACCGCAAGATGAGCATGCCCCTCCCCATGGAGGTGTACCGATCCCGAGTGCAGAGTCTTTGCTCAATGCATCCGCCGTAGGTCCACAGGGTTTGCATCCGACGGCATCCGTGAAACCAGATGATGAACATGCCCCTCCCCAAGGAGGTGTACCGATCCCGAGTGCAGAGTCCTTGCTCAATGCATCCGCCGTAGGTCCACAGGGTTTGCATCCGACGGCATCCGTGACAGCTGAAGATGAGCATGCCCCTCCCCATGGAGGTGTACCGATCCCGAGTGCAGAGTCTTTGCTCAATGCATCTGCCGTAGGTCCACAGGGTTTGCATCCGATGGCATCCGCCCCTCCCCATGGAGGTGTACCGATCCCGAGTGCAGAGTCTTTGCTCAATACATCCGCCGTAGGTCCACAGAGTTTGCTTCACGCGGCATCCATGAAACCTGAGGATGAGCATGCCCCTCCCCATGGAGGTGTACCGATCCCGAGTGTAGAGTCTTTGCTCAATGCATCCGCCGTAGGTCCACAGGGTTTGCATCCGACGGCATCCGTGAAACCTGAAGATGAGCATGCCCCTCCCCATGGAGGTGTACCGATCCCGAGTGCAGCGTCTCTGCACAATGCGTCTGCTGTAGGTCCACAGGGTTTGCATCCGACTGCATCCGTGACAGCTGAAGATGAGCATGCCCCTCCCCATGGAGGTGTACCGATCCCGAGTGCAGAGTCTTTGCTCATCAATGCATTCGCCGTAGGTCCACAGGGTTTGCATCCTACTGCATCCGT